TCTGTCCCTTGCAGAGCCCTGAGCGTAGGCCTGGGCCCTGGGACTCGGTCCTGACCCTCCTCCTGCGCGGGGCGCCCGTCACACTGTCCCCGAGGCCTGGCCCAGGCGCTGTGCTGTTCAGGGACTTTCCAAGATTTTGGCGTCACCATCTCTGTGCAGCCTCACACACAGGCAGGCTTCCAGATAACCGTGTTTATGTGGCTACATCTATCATAGTTACCTCTCACGAAATCAAACAGGTTCTAACAATTATTTTTTAAAATATATTTTTATTGATTTCAAGTAGGAAGGAAGAGAGAGAGAGAAACATCAATGACATGAGAGAATCATGGATCCGCTGCCTCCTGCACACCTCCTACTGGGAATTGAGACCACATCCCAGGCAGGTTCCCTTGACCTTAATCAAACCTGCGACCCTACAGTTCACAGAGCTATGCTCCAACCATCGAGACAAACCAACTAGGGCTCTATTTTTTTAAGAAAAGTAAAAATGGTATCCCATGTGAAAGAGGCTAGCTCAGCTCACACACATGATTTCCCTGGTACATGATACTTGGAAATGTGGTGGAAGTGTTTTTAGTGTACTTCCCAGGTCATCATATAAGGTTTTTTTTTATCCTCCATTTTTATTAAAGACAGTTATGAAAATCCATTTGTGCAATGAATGCAAGATACATAGATCTTGTTTTTAAAAATATTTTTAATTTTTCAAATATAGTTTATGTACAATATTGTATTAGTTTAGGTGTACAACCCTGTGGTTAGACATTCATATAACTTATACAGTGATCGCTGCCATACATCTAGTACCATGTGACCTCACATGTAATTGTTACAAATGATTGACTGTGTTCCCTGTGCTGTCCTTTCCCTCCCCGTGACCACACTGTAAGGACCATGTTGTGTTTCCTTCTCCTTCACCTGCTGTGCCCAGTCCCTCCCCTGCCCTCCAGCAGCCAGCAGTCTGCTCTCTGTGGCTGAGTCTGTGGCTGCTGTAGGATCCTGTTGGGCGGATTCCAGGCGGCACTGAATGCTGGTTGTTGGGAGGGTGGTGGTCATTGTTTTGTGGTTGTGGGTGGATGCAGGCTCCGCGTTCACCTTTGGGGCATCTTCACCGGAGGCTACGATGTTTTAAAATGTGGATGGAAGGATGAGGCTTCAGTAAAGATAATAATTTCACCTCCTTCAACCGTGTGATTTAAAAGCTAAACTGGGCCCTGGCCTGTGTGGCTCAGTAGATAGTCAGCCTGCAGACTGAAGGGTCTCAGGTTTGATTCTGGTCAAGGGTACATGCCTGGATTGTGGGTTCAATTCCCAGTGTGGGGTGTGCAGGCGGCAGCAGAACAATGATTCTCTCATCTTTGCCTCAGCGTCCATGTCAGCAGAGTGAAAAGGCAAGAATGTCCTCCATCTCCCGCAAAATGTGTTGACCCCCCAAATCCTGGGAAAGGCTCTCAGATACTTCAGGGTTCCACAGACCACACTTTGAGAAAGGTGGTTCTGGATAAACCAAGGGGTGTTTCCCACCCTACCCCTGACTTGGCCTCCTCTTCTCTTCCCAGAATCCCTGTCCACAAGGCTCAATCTCTGCACCCGAAACTGAGCTCACAGCATTGCCCCTGGGACCTTCTAGAAGAGAGCTCACCCTGGATATTCTATGCCAGAAAGTGTCCTCAGCCTGGGAGGGAGGTGGAGGGGCAGGTGTTTCCCCTTCAGAACTCGGAACAGTTTGTGGTTGAAGACACCAGTCCCACAGAAAACGTACTGCGGTTTCTATACCTCAGCTGAGTATGTTCTCACACCCCAGACAGAAACCTGATGTGTCTGTAAGAGAAGCCATCTTGGCCCTTTTATGCAAATGGGCTGAGTGCTCTCACTTGAGGCCCAGACAACGTGCAGAGCAGTCTGCCCATTAGAACATTCTGTGAGCGAGGACTCACTCTGCGTCGGTTTCTCCCACGTGGCAGCCACCAGCTGCTGTGGCCACTGAGCCCTTGACACGTGGGTCCTGTGCCGAGCAGGGGGACTTTTCACTTCATGGACCTTTAATTCTGCCGCCATGGGGGTCGTGGAGCTGCCACGTGAGACAGCGCCCGGCTAAATGCTCTTAGTTTCCAGTCTCTGCCCCCACAGGGCATAGTGGGCCTCATAGATGAATGGACGTTATAGTTGTCTTCATATGAAAGTCATGGGTCTTCATGTATCATAGTCTTCAGTTGTGTATGAGGGACTTAGATACATCCTCAAATCACAGACTGCCCAGGAAAGTATAATTAATGTTCATTTAACAACAAGTGCGTGCAGTTATTAACTGAAATGTACTTAAGGTTGTAAGTGTTCAAAAATGCTCCTCACTGCAGCCATCCTTGTGTTTAGTCTTGTGGGACCTTTTTTGTTGGTTTTGTTAACCTCATGAACATGAGCAGGCTCATAAGTCTCTACATATCACAATAGAAAATATATATTGAGCACAACAGATAGCAGGTACCTGTAGGCCCTCACATGCTTAAAGATTGTACTAGTAAAGCAGAGAATGTCAACTTCAGGTTCCACCTTGGAATTCCTTACCTATTGCTCCTTCCCATGTTTCATCCCAAATTCTACCACCTCTGTTTCCATGCTCCCTTGGAACCCTTTGCCCTCAATGAAAATATATGTGAAGTGTTTACTGTTATGGCATAAGAATTTCTCAAACCAAGACCTAAAGATGAAAAGCCATAAAGGAAAACATAAAACTTTTCTCTGTCAACCTCACACTTGAGAGATACAAACTCAGGGCCAGCATCAAACTCAAAGTCACACAAACATGTTGACAGAGAAAGGGTCCTGTGGCCCAGTGTTCCTCAGCCAAAACCCAGGAGGCTCCCTGTGGGCAGGCGAGGTGGGTTCCTCATCATTGCTGGAGGGAGAACGCATCCCACGGGGGCCATGGAGCATCCTAGTGGGAAGGGGGGAGAGAGGACACATCTAGGGTGTGGGCTCTGGATGGGCGACCTCGGGGAAGATCTGGGGAGCGGGCTCCTCTAGATGGGGGGGTGTCAGGAGGGACAGCTCTATGG